CCTGACTCAACAGTGTGGCTAGCCCATGCCCTTCACACCAGGCCGGCGGGAGGATTGTTCTCAGCTCAAGTTCAGTCCACAGTTAAGGCAACTAACTGATGTGCTCAGACTAGGTCAGGTGACCTCGAATGCCCATTTAGTCAAGAACTATGTGACTCTGTGCCAATCTTGTGACCTTTCCTTGTCTTTTCTTTTGATCCTGTTGGTGTTGTGGGCCTGGCCAACTTGGGCCTAGGATATGGAAATTATTTCAGTGTTTCTTGATCTTCACTGGTCATTGGTGCAGGTGCAGGCCTGGACCTGGATCCTCCTTATTCCAGCTTTACCTTCATCTCCACGGTCACCTTCAGTGCAGTCCCTTATTTCCCTAAGCCTCAGCCTTCTTGTCTATAACATGAAGTTGTGGGATAGATGACCCCGTATTGGCTCCTCCACTTCTATGTAGTGGGAGGAGATAGTTATATAGACTTGCTGATTCGTTAGGGACTGTTACTCTAAATTATTTTGGGAAAACTTTCTCCACAACTTGAGTAGAGCCTCAACTACAGAGCCTTCAGACTTTATTGAGTCTCATATTTGCCACAGTGGCATTTTAATATCTGTTCTCATATTGCCACTTTTTCCTTTTTGCAGTTTGTGTGTGTTTGAGTAGGATGTATTTGTAGACTTGTAACTGCTTCCTGAAATATTGTCCTGAGTAACCCTACAGTCCCTTGAACTACCCAGGGCTAAGCTGCCTTTGAGCTTGTGTTACGAAAGCTAGTCTTTGTTTTACGCTGCTAGTTCAAAGTACCTTGACATTCTGTGACACCCCAATGCTGCCTCCCCTGCTTGCAGACAGCCCATCTCTGTGACTTGTTCTCAACCTTGTATTTCTGTGCAGTTTCTCTGTGCTTATTTGCTCTGTTCTTTCCATACATGTGGGTCCTTTCTCCCCCAGAGACAATGGCATGGGGGCATATTTGAATTGGAAGGGACCTCGAGTTTTACCTCCTCATTTCACATAAAAGAAGTGGGTGCCTGACAGACTGAGGGACTTGATCAGGCTTGTAAGTAGGTCCAGAGCTGGGGCGGGGGCCTGCCTAGCTCTGCGCCCACAGGGATGAGAGCAGCAGCCGTGCTGACTCTGAAGGCCTCCTTGTTTGCTGTTGTGAAGTGTGGAGACTGAGTGGTGCTTGCCAAGTCTGAGCTGTATGTTTATAAGGAAGAGGCGCTCACATCTAGAAGTGAGACTTCTCTCGCCCACTTTGGGACCTGACTCGAGCTCAGGTCAGCAATAGATCCTCAGGTTTCTCAGGTTTCTTTTTCCCATTCCATTCTTTCTCACATCTGTCTCACTGACAGTACCTTGCCACTGGCGCTTAAATGACTCACCCAGGTATTGAGGTTTTTCAGTAAGCCATACTTGTATTAAATTTTATTTCTCAAATTTTACAACAGTGCCTCAGTTTGTCAGTGTTAGAATGGTCTCTTCATCTGCCAGCTCTCCTGTCTTCCGGCATTTCTCTGATTGGTAAAGCAGTGACAGGCTGTCAGATCCAGGCCTGGGGCCTCTGCTCCCAGAGTCTGTTTGGTCTGGAACCTGCAGGAGCTCCGTCTCGCCATTACCTAGGTAACCGCCGTAAGCCAGAGAAGCCGTCTGTCCAGCGTGAGAGGAAATACAAAAATGAAACCTCAGTGCTTATTTATACACGATGAATGTTTTGAATTTTACTTGATTTGAAAAAAGGTTGTTTTGCTTCTTTGTTGGGTTTTGGCCTCTGTGCTCAGGGTGATGCTCATGTTTCCTGGATTCTTATTTTTGCAATGTACTTTTATGCAAGTTGTGATCTGTTAAATGCAGTTTTTATTCCCTAAGGACTACGAGGCACACACATTTTTATGAGCAAGTGGTAAAGCAAACATACTCCAATTCTTATTTGGTTAGGTTTTGTGGGTGTTTGTGTTTCTAAAAAATGTTCCTTTTTGTGGGGGTGTTTTTCCGTTCGGTGTGCTCTATTTCCTTAGTAACTGTTGCTCTGTTATGGGAAGGACTTACTGACATTTTTCAAGTGCAATATTGAATTAATTTATTTCCTGGTTAGTCCTGCCCAAGTTCCCAGTGTAAGTAGAACATCTGTGTGTGTGTGGATGGCAGGATGCTGGCGTGCTCGCTGTGCAGGGGCTCGGCAGGTGTGAGTTCCTTCCCTGTCTGCATTCTCTCTTTTTTCTCCATTGATTTTCCTGATTTTAGTATTACCAGGTGGAAGGCATTTCAGTTCAGGGTACTGCCTGGAATTTAGGGAAGAACAGTGGTTGGAGGGGTGAGAGACCCAGACATCAGTCCTGTCTCTCCTGCAGCTAGTGCTTTTGGACTCAGTTACTTAACCTCTGTGGGGTTTTCTCTCTGTGATCCAAGGGGATTTAAAGTAATGAGCTCTGCCTTGACCCTCTATGAGTACAATAGGAATCATCTCTTGTAATCACTGTCTCATCTTAACAAGGGCCAGGAAAATCCCTGCCAGTTCTGAGAGCCAGGGCCATTGCTGTGGGCAGCCCAAGAAATGTAACTGCCAGTGCGTGGGTGGAGCTGGATTTGTTTTGTAGATGCTTGCTCTGCCCCACTGTGTGTACCTTCTGAACTCCAGTCTTCATCTGTTCATCCATTCATTCAGTGAACATGTATTTACTGAACACCTCTGGGGTGCCAGGTGCAGTGTCTTGGATGCTAAGGGGAAATGGAGAGACTGTCACTGCCCTTGACCTTGTGGTGCTCACAGTCTAGCAGGGGAGGGGCACTAAGCCATCAGGACCCCTACATGCAACCATGACAATGGTCAGTGTTGGAGGGACCAGGCTCTAAATTCACCCTGGAATTGATCACAGCAGGAACTATGAAGAGGGTTGTTTGAGCTGATATTGGGACGTCAGCATAGATCACAGGCAGGGATCACATGGCAGCGGGAATAGGAAGGACAAGCAGGAGGCATCATTTGTGCAGTTTCTCTGCCCTTTTGCTGCTTCTTGGTTAGGAGGCAATGCAGCTGTGACAGTGGTCTCTGCCCAGTTTCCCAGCTTCTCTGGCCCACTGTGTTGAGCGCCGCACTGTGAAGCAGCGCTGGCATACAGCAATATGAGACCTCTCCTGTCATGCCTGCTCCTCTCAGTGAACTCTGTCTCTGAGATCCTCACTGTAGTGAACGCTTAATATACTGTGAGGCCCTAACATCCTGAGATATTGTGTCACTGTGGCCTTCGCAGGGAGCCTGCACACAAACGCTTGATGTCCAGTGAGCAGCATGCCTGAGATCTCACAGTGAACTGTTACGCATCTGTCCCATAACTCCTAGAAGAAATACAGTTAAGTTCTGGTGAGGGTGATAAAGACAATAAGGGAGGGCCTCCCTGGTGGTGCTGACAGTTGAGCGCAGTGCTGTGAGGCTGTCTGCAGCCTCTGCAGCATGGGTTTGATCCCGGCCGGCCAGGGAGATACCCATATGACTTGGCAGACCTCTCCTGTCTTGCCTGCTGCTCCCCTCAGCAGTGTGTTTCGGTCAGTCTACCTGTTCTGTTCCCTGCTCTGTCTCTGGTGGATCCTTTCACCCTCCTGCACATCTGGCCTGTACCCTGATTCTTGTTTGCATGAATAAATAAATCTTTAAAAAAAGGCAGTAAGAGAACAAGTTTGTTTGTTGTTTTGTTCTGTTACTGCCCACATCGGCCCCTGTCTTTCCCATAACCATATGAGTGTGAGATCTAGGATCATTTATTTTATAAAAAAAATGAGGCAGTATCATTCTGAAATGAGTCAAAATAATATTAACAAACCCCCCACAACAAAACAATCTCAGCACAATTCATTTTTTCAACTAATTCAGAGAAATAGAACAAATCAAGTCTGGCATTTGTGTTCACTGAAGGAGAGTAAAGAAAATCAAAGTGTTAGGGTAGGAGGGTTTTATTTTTCTCTGAAATTCCACTTTCTAAAATTGATCATTGCCATGCATGTAATTAGTGTAGAAGTTGGTATAGGACTTTGGGTTAGATAGAAATGTTTTCTCACTTTGGAAGTTCTTGAAAACCACCGTTTACATAAATGACTTCTATTTAAAATATATTTTTATTCATTAAACGTAAGAACTCTTGTTGGGCTACACTTTATTAATGAAATTGTTGCTGAAGGTACATGAAGACAACATGATTAGGCTTCTTAACATAATTCAAGTGCTTTATTAATATGTGAGGTTTTCCTTACAGTTAGTCTGTAATTAATGATGTTTTATTATATTTGTATTTATAACAAGAGGGTCGTAAGAGGGTACCTTTCTGTTAATGTGCTCTATTTTCTTCAATTCTTTCTCTTTTCTCTAGTTTGATAGTTAAAAAGAGAAATGACTTTGTGATTTCTAAAAATTGGCTATAAACTGATTAAGATAAGTGATAATAATGAAAAAAGATTCATATTCAAAATTCAGTTTTTTAAGTCTGGTACTTTGGGCTTCTAACATTGTTAATGCTTCCTGTATAATATGGCACAATTGAAATATCTGAAAACTAGTTTGTGAAATGCTTTTATTATTATGTAACACATATGGAACAGTTTATAGATTAAATTTCCTTTTCCTTCCCACTTAAAAAATTAATGTGGACTTTTGAGTTCCTCCTTCAAGTCACTTTTTAAAACTGCTCAATCCAAGACCTCAGGAACTAGCTTGGGAAATGGGTCTCTTTCTTAGATTATCTGCGAACTCGGTGGAACTGGGGAAGGACCTTTGGATGCTGCTCCTAAAGGGTTGTGAAACAGTGAACACTGTCCTGTTCTGGGGTGCAGGTGAAGCACCACGCTGCCCCACCCCACCACAGACACTGAAAAGGGGCTGTAGCACTTCCTCCCAGAGCTCCATCAGGGCCCATGGTGTGGCCATGAGCATGGTGCTGAGTATCTTTTCCTTTTTCTTTTTTGACCTTTATAGGTCTGCTAAATTTCTTCAGGACAGTGATCTTTTCCTTTTTACTTTCAGCAAGGGGAGCAGCAAAACCCAGAGAACAGCAGACCAGATCACACTGAGCTCCCTTGTGGTGGCTGGGACCTGTGGAAGATGCTGACTGCCAGGCGGCTGAGGAGGCCCTCACTCTAAGGAAGGAAAGCAGGTCTTGGCCGGACAGCTTCCTCTGCTTCCAGGCTTACTATGGCCTCCGCTCTCTGGCTGAACGGCTGATGTGACCCCGTACCCCAGTGTGTAAGCTGCTGGTTGAGGCGCTAGCCCAGGTACCCCTGCTCTCAGGGTCTGGGAGCAGGGCAGGTGGGCATCAAATGTTACCAACAGCTGGACAAGGCAGAGCAATGGACTCTGGCAAGCTAAGATGGAAGTGACCTGAGGCTTCGCCCAGGTGGTTCCCTCTGGACAGTACAGCTTAAGAGTCGGAGCAGGGCCTGTCTGGGGAGCAGTATGCAGGAAGCTGGTTTTCAGGCCACAAATGCTTTCACAGGTGAGGATCCGCCACATTTCAGTGGAAACTTTATTTCCATTCTTAGGTAATAGGTAACAAAATACTGAACAACTGCATGAAATTAGGGTACATTTGCTTTTTATGAACTAAAGGCCATACAGAGTCATGGGACTCTAGCTGCCACGGTGACTGATTTGGACAAAATAATAGCCTGCTTTCTATCTATCTAAACAGGAATTTGAAAAAAAAAAAGACATTTTATAATTTCCTTTTTGTTGCTGGATAGTTTCCACGCAATACACTGTAAGTCACTGTTCGTTAATGGAAAAGCGTCACTTGCAAAGCAATGGATCAGTGTTGTTTCTTTATAGAACCAGAGACTCTCAGAGGGCGTCATTATTGCTGATGAGTAATCTTTTCCTCCCCATCTTTAGTTTTTTCCCTCACGTTATTTGTTTGCAAGTGTGGTGCATATGTGTGGTATCACTCTGTTGAACTAACCTTAACTTAGTATCCTTCACATATAACGAGGTCACAGAGAAGCTGGACATTCCTGTTGATGTTGATTTGCCCCTCTGGCTGCCAGTTTACTCATTTTGAAGGGAACCACTCAGAGCCATGACCTGAGATACAGGGGCTTTTGAATTTGGGTCCTGGCTTTTTGTCTGATCCACTTAACATCCAGGAGGTCACTTAATCCTTTTGTACCTCTGGTTCCTGATTTATAGAATGGGGACTGTGAAGTAGAAGAACCTCATAGAATCCAGGGAAAACATTTTTTACAATAAAAATGGTGTTTTTTTTTTTAAAGAAAAGGTGGGATAATGTGAAGTTAATAACCTCATGGAACATGGGAAAAATGTTTTTACAAAAAATCTTTTAAAGGGAATGTTGGCAGAATAATCACAAGAAATGACTGGATATTGTAAGCCCTAAAAATCTGCAGCTTTTCAAATTCTGTGGCGAGTACATCAGTTTATCAGGGTGACTACAGAGAGGTTGAAGCTGCCACTTAGTCCCCATGCTCCCTAGCTGTTATTAGCCACCCAGAGGTGACGGCCCCTGCAGTTGCCCCCTCCCCTGCCTAGCCTGAGGCTAAGGCAGGTGGGACGCTGCCTGCCCATGGACTGAACTTTGCTCCTCCTTGATCCTTGAGCTCCCTCTGAGTCTTTGCTCATTTACGAATGAAATGTTACATGCAGCTTTTGCAGAGCTGCTCTAAGGCAAAGTAAGACAACATCTGCGAGACACTGACTGCAGAGCAACCCAGTACTTTCCAAGCCTAGCTGTGTTCCTGATGTGGGGCCTTAGTGTGTTGCCCAGTCCAGACCTGTTGCTCCGTGTTCTTGAGCCTTTGGGTGAACTCCTCGACCATCTGTTTTACCTGGGAGCCTCAGTTTTAAGGAGTTGTTCTAGGACAGGCCCTCCTCTGATGGTCATGGCCCATTTAAAACCAGCTAAGTGGCTATTTAAAGGTTCAGATGCAAAAGCGCACACAGGAAGTGGAGCTATCTAGCACCATCTTCAGACTCCTAGTCTGACTGCCTAGAAACTGGGCCTTCCCATCCTCCCTGAATGGGTTCTCTTCAGCCTTTTCAATCACTTGAGCTGTTCCTTCCTGGAATTGTTAGTGTGTGACTAAGGGGTACCTTGAGGGGGCACCCGAGGGCCCCATATTTGCAGGGGCTAACAGGGCCTGGCTGTCTGTGCCCACAAAAACAAAGCAACTCACTGTAAAAGAGCTTTAATAGATTAGTGTGCACAGAGAGAGAAGGGAAGAAAGGATAATTACTTCACAATAAAACCCCCAAAGTTACCCTCCCCTCATGGGTAAATGCCCAGTCAAACATGGTTGGCTTGAAGTGGGACCACTAAAGGCTGAAAACTTACCAAGTCTAGGGCACCTTGAGCCGGCAACCATAAGAAGGGGGCAAAAGGGATCAGGCAAATCTGGATGGGAAGGAACAAAATCAAAATACGAATCAAGAGAAGGGCTGCAATTGTTGGCTTCCCCACTAGCCTCTCACCCACGTGTCTCTTTTAAGTGGCTCCTCATGTCTCTCCTCCATGTGTGTCCTCCAAGCCCCTCAAGTCCCTAGTGCAAGTCCAGAGCCAAGGAGCAAGCAGGTTCTTCTCCTTGAGTCTCCATGTCTCTTCACGTCTCTCTTGAGCCCACCTGCCACCCTGTTATGTAGAGTCTCCTGCCTGCTCAGCTCCGCCCCTCATTAGGTGGGGCAGGGAACCCACTCCCTCCCCCTTCTATGGCGAGGTCTTTGTTATGGAATGTCACCTTCCCCTTTGGGTGAAGGGGGCATGCAGGGCTGTGACATAAAGCAACTTTGTGAAGTGGCCGAGTGCACAGCCCTTCAAATGCATCTGCACTCCCTGGGGCCTAGAGAATTCTCCATAGTTAGGACCTGGCAGCTGTTTTATGACTGTCTTCTCCCTGGTGGTGAGCCATGCACAGCCCCAGGTTGCCAACCCACACGTTCTCTCAGCCACCCTCTTGCGGCTTCTCCTCAATTCACATTTTCTTATTTTAACTCACGAACCCTATTTTCTTACAGATTTGACCTCCTCCAAGTTTGTTTTGGAGATTGTATTAGCCTGCCTGCCTGCCTGCCTGAATGAATGAATGAATGAATGAATGAATGAATAAATAGCCTGCCTGTAGTAGTGAAATAGTAACTGTGGCTTGTGTTTTAGAAAACTGACTATGCTGTCCCTGTCAGTTTCCACTGCAGCTCAAGGGCGGTGTTAGCATGCTGCGTGCTGCTGTGGCTGGTGCAGGGCCACCAACTGGAGGCATCAGGGTTGAGGTCAAGCCCATGACATTTCTAAGTCTTAGGGGTGTGTGTGCAACCTTCCCTGCACCTGGGGCTCACCTAGGTGAGCTGTTGCTGCCTGGGTCTCACCCTCAGAGGTTGGGGTTTAATTGGCCTCTGCATTGCCTAGCCCTGCTAAATCAGGTCTTGCTTCCTAACGAGATCCCCACATGCTCAATGCACTGGAGGTCTGGGGAGTAGGAGAACTCACGCTGTGTGGAGAGGTGAAGGGTAGTTTGGCAGAGTCAATTCTCAAAAAAAGGAAGTGATTTGTCCCACTCCTTAAGCAGGGGGGATTGTATTGACTAACCTGCTCACTCTTCAGAGAACTGTCTGTTGTTGGATGATATTTACCACAGGGGCACACAAGTACCTCCAGGACAATGGCTTTCACTTTCTGAGATCTCTAGATAATGAATTAATTAATTAATGGTAAAATAAGGCATATGTGAGTACCTGGCCTCTCAGGAGGTAGGGCATGATGGACTTGCCTTATTAGGTTTGCCTTTCTTTTTTTTTATTATTTTTTAAATTTTATATATTTTTACGTCATTTTTCATTTTTGTGGAATATATGCATTTTCATCTTGGTTATAGTCCCCATACAATTCCCACCCCCCCTTGTTTTGATCCTACTCCCTCCTTCCTCCCCACCCCTGTAGTGAGTCTCTGGTTTATACTTGCTCAGCGAAATAAGCCAGAAAGAAAAAGAAAAATACCAGATGGTCTCACTCATAGCAGGAATTTAGAAAAACCTAAATAAGGGACCAGGAAAAAGACTAATTATAATAAAGTAAAAATCAAAATCAACAAGCAACTATAAACCAGAGGTTTGCCTTTCTTATGTTTGTTGTTGTTGTTTTACTTCATTCTTTTTAAAATTAATTTATTTATTTATACAAGCACTGTATTTATTTATACAAGCACAGGAGGGCGAGAGAATTCACCAGAGCCAGAGCTGGGAACAGAACAGGCAGACTAACGAAATACACTGCTGAGGGGAGCAGCGGGCATGGCAGGAGAGGTCTGTTGCGCCATGTGGGATCCTCGCTGGAGGCCGGGGATTGAACCAGTGCTGCAGAAGCTGAGGGCAGCTTCGCAGCCCAGCGCTCAACTGCTGTGCCACCAGGGGAGGCCCAGTTTTACTTCATTCTTAACCAAGGGTGACTAAAGATACTAGCATCTTAGTTCTGGAATTGAAGATGCTCTGATTTTGTTGATTCTTTAGGCTAATGGAAGGAGTTTTGTTTTGGATATCCTAAATTGTGAAGGCGCTCAGGCATTTTCCCTTGGCTTCAAATCTTGTTTTAGGGTAAGACAACAGTTACTTTACAGTTATCCATACCATCACTTAAAGAAATTTGTCAGTTTGTTTTTATGTTCCAGTACTTTTGGTGGCAATGGATGCATGAGGGCATGGAATTCCTATTTAAGATGGAATAGGAGCTGCAGCCTGTGTGGGAAGGAGGGAAGAGAGACCTGTGTGCAGATATTATTGTATGGCAAGCCCACTGCTTTTGGAGTGGGTAAAATTACTGTGATGGGTGATGAAAGCTGCAAAGGTCCATCCCCTAGGCCCCTGCTGGCCTACCTGGGTGACTGGAAGTTCCCTCTTACGTCTTGCTTCCTGTGTGAATGTAGGTATACCCACATAGATGTATATTGCCAATTCAACTTCCTAATTATGATTTTTATAGGCTAATGCTTGCATACAGGAACTGACACGTTGCTTTTAATTTTCTTAGCACATGTAATTTAGAAATGATTAAAAATAATTTAGATAGTATTTTATAACAAAAATCTATTTTTTTGTTTAAGTATTACCAGCTTATTGTAAGAAAATTTGGAAATCATAAAACAATCAAAATAAGAAAAACTGCCTATACATACTCCAATCACTGTTACATACTCATACATACTCATATGCTTTCCACTGTTAACATTTCAGCTTGCACACTTACATCTTTTTCCTGTGCAAATTTCTTTTATAGAACAGTGTTCTTACTGTAAATTCAGTTTTGTAACCTGATCATTCCCTTTTTATAAAAGTAGATTATGAGCATTTTCTTTGAGTTCACATTGCTGCATAATACTCTTTTATGCATACTTGAATTTTAAAATCATGCTCTTTATGTTGGATATTGCAATTTTTGACAGCTTTTACCCTTATAATACTTTGATGAAAGCGTTTGTGCACAGAGCTTTTTTGTATATT